TAAACTACGTGTCAGTCAGTGGGGAACCCACGCGTGTGTTTTAATATGGCGCATATGTATGTATAATATGCAGTCTATGTAATAAAACACCCCTCGTGGGTCCGCCACTGACTGACACGTAGTTTAACCCCCATGATTGTTCAGCTGCTTGGTTAGTCCGAAACGGAAGTGGCCATTTCCTTTATTCACTCTCACTTCGGCCATCATACAATAGATTCTTTCCCGTACATCCCGCGGGTGTCCAAAACAGCCCAGAAATCATTCCCGTACTCAGAAAAATGGGTAATAGAGAGCGGAAATTGGAACGTATTGGATCGTGTCTTCTTATTCCTGCACAAAACAGGCCGGACTTTGTCAAAGTGCATATCAGCTGTTTTGTGTTTACATGTTGGCTGCATTTACTTGGTGCTTTTAAGGAATAATGAATGGCCTGTTGATGTATTTTAAATTTTTATATACTAATAATCAAATTTGTGAAATAAAAATTCAATTTCCAAGTTTTTGCATTGAAGTGACAAAACCAAAAAACAACGTGAATCAGCTGTTTCTCAAATTCCGGGCACGAAATGTGGTTTTTTGCGTTCCCGTACTTCCGGACTATGTTCCCCTTTTGAGAGAAAACTATTCTCTAATTAACGGATACGGTCCGGATTGTTAGGGAATGAACCTAATGTAGAGTTGTCATACAAACATTCACATAGCATACAAGTGAAAAGAGCTGCCATACCAACATTTACAAATAACATTATATGTTGTTTACACACATCTTACATGTGGGAAAAAATATGGTATGCAAAAATACTATATTTCTTCAATTATAAATATAAATATATTTCAGTAGTTTGCACGAAAAAATGTGTATTAAAATGGATGACCTTTATACTGAAATAACAATATTAAATGAAATATTCTTTAAAGTAAAAGGTCATTGTGTGTTTATAATCAAACAAGGTAACATATTTTTAAAAACACCCAGAAAGAATTAACAAATTTACTTAAAATTATTTCATTTCTACTCTCTATTCCAACAACTTCGCGCCATTCAAAGGGAGAACTTTTTCCATCACGTAAAAATTGTTTTACTTTCTCTTTTAAATAAAATACTAAATATATTTGAAGTTTGCTATATTTTTTTTTTTTGAAAAAGTACTATAAATATATTGGAAATTGTTGAAAGCCCTAGTGACAGCATTGATTTTTCGCGAATACGTTGCTAGTTGCGTTTCAGTGATCGTTGCGTTGCGAATTGATCGTGGTAGAGACGGATCTGAATAAGCGACTGAAACACGGCTGTTTGTCAAAAGCATACAACTTCGAAATCGCGTAAATGTGCATTTGGTAAATGCGATAGCATTAACGCTCTTCGAAAATATATGTTCGAAAGTGCTAAATGTTGCATTTTAAATGCAGTAAATACGCTGTATTACACAGTTTCTCCGGCATAAGAACACATTCTTCTCATAGACACATCAAGTGACGATTAATTTTGAAATGAAAGGTGTTTCTACAATATCCAATGCACGGCACCAAATTTAGCATCAGTTCTCGAAAAAGATTACATTACGACCAAATATAAACTAAAATATTAGCTTTGTTTCTTTGCAGATAATTATCCCTAGTTTTTGCTAAGCTTTCTTAAACCAGAAAACTAGCAGCTCTCTCTCGTTCTTATGCTCTTTTTTTGCATCTTTTGCTAATTTCTGCAAGTAAAATTTTTACTAGCAGAAAATAGCAGCTGTCAACATAAACAACCGTTGAAACGTAACCAAGCGAGGTTAGGCAAAGTTGCTTTTATTTGTTTCTTTCTCCAAGTTTTTGATATTTTTTAAATAAAAATAAGCGAATCATTAAATATTGGTAGAGTATTGCAAAATATTGATTTTTGTTCTATCTTGATTACTTTTTGAGCAGCTCTATTTTTGATTTTCTCAAAGTTGTTCTACTTTCGAGTGCCTTAGCAACAGCAAAAACTGGCCAAGCTCTATTTTTTGATTTTCTCAAAGCTGTTCTCACTTCGAGTGCCTTAGCAACAGCATAAACTGGCCAAGCTTTGGCCGTGCGCAGTAATTGAGCATGGTCTCTTTCTCCCCATATTTCCTTTTCTAATAAATACAATTTTATTTTCAAGTACTCTGGTATCAAAACTATGTATATACATGTAGGAATGTCCTTCCCTCTTATACATAAACGCGGTTATTTAGTTTGATAATTTAATACAACATAAAGTTTATTTAACAAAGCGGATATAATACAATTTAAAAACTTAACAGCAGAAGAACATTGTTCTGCGCTTGATGACGGCTGTAAATGCAATGTCAAGTCGTCCTGTTCGTATCGTTCTCGCCTAAACTTTAGTCAAATAGTTCGATCAGTTATATTCCTCTATTCGTTATGTAGTGCCGCATTTATATGTTACTAAATCTTAATGGCCAATTAGTCATAGCATCATAAGTACTGTATTAAAAAAAAAATAAAATAAAATAAAAAAAAGAGAATGATGCTTTCGTTTTTTGACGTTGGAATAAACTCCATGGTTCTGATAAATTTTTTTTTATATAAATTTGATGTTTGCTAAAACTTTACAAGATGTACATTAGAGTTATGATTTTTTTAAATGTAAATGCCTGTGGTGGCAACGATGAACTTTTGTATAAATTTCAAAAAAATTACAACAATTTTGATAAATTATAAAAGAAAACTCCCGTACATAGCGAAATTTATTACCAGTTTCTAAGTGGAGAAAATTAATATTCAAACATGTTTTTCTTCTCAAATGTTTTATGGTTTTATTAAAGTAAAATAGATTCCTGGATTTAGTGCTGATACACATCGTTTTTAAATCAAAACTTGGTAGGCAAAAAGGAATTTCGGTCGAATTT